TGGTGGCTATGCACATCTATTAACCCAATGTTGCCTACTCGAGCTATCAGCTTCACAATGGATAGGATTTTGGCTTAGATTTGCAGAGACCAAATAACCAATTAGTATGTGGCTTCAATCCTACGAGTCCATAATTTTAATTACTACCCCATAACTATGTTAAAGTGCTCATTCTTAGGGGTGATCTCGACATAGGGGCCACAAATAAAAATTCTGGATCCGTAGATCGATTGGAATTCAAATTCTAAGTAATATCCTCTTACAAACCATGTCCATACGTGTTGTGGTTGGAAAGTTATAGTCCAATCTCTCCAGAGTGCCAAATTTGGCAGGGAAAACAAGCTGATTTCGCATTTTTGGAGCAATAAATACAATTTCTACATGGAAAACTCTCTTAGTGGATTAAATCACATCATTCCCTCAAACCCACTGCAAAAAATATATTGGATTGGTGTTGTGGAAGGTACAAAGTCCATGTCTCAAGAAATTGGCCCTGTGACGCTATGTCACGGCATGTCACTGGTCATCACACTTACCAAGGATTGTGCAACACCACAAGGAGGCCGTTAAATCGCGCGAGACGCGGAGGTGGAGTGGTGCATTGCTGCGTGTTGGGATTCGTCGAGGATGCAGAAGAGGACGTCGGAGTGATAGCACGCGTGCTGCGGCGGCAGTTGGCAGAGAGTGTGCCGACCCCGGACGCGCTCGGGGTTTATTTACTACTGTTGAACAACAACTTCCCAAAACCGGTAAACAGTATTATTTATGGCCTCGATCAATCTATAAATACAAGGTCAAGTCTCGGGTTTCGCTACTTCTCGTTTTACCCCAATATACCATGGCGTCTACGCCCCCACCTTCTCTCGATGACGCCCTCACGCTTGTAAAAGTTTTCTATATAATCCCACTCGATCTGGCTGGGTTTCGCTCTCTGTGGGTTCAAAAATGTCGAGTACTATGATACTAAAGCACTGATTCAATTTCTTCACCAGCACCGCTCGATTTCTAGTTTTCGAGAACCTACTCTCTGAAACCCCATCGCAAATTTTCACAGCACGAATGACAGAATCATCAGAACTGGATACAGTACCATCATTCTCATGCCCCCTGCCATCCGACCTACTACAGTCTGGTGCAAAGGTACGCCGTAAAACGCGCATATATTCAAAAATATTTTAATTAATGGTCTTTATCATAGGGTCTCTTCAACCTCACCGACGGCCTTGTCAGTATTCCATCCGACTACGATTGGGTGTTCTTCCAGGGTGAAGACATCAGGCGGGGGATCCTCAGAGTCGACCG